TGTGTACGCCCCTACTTGCTCAGTGGGTCCGGTATTGGCTTGAGTTCGCATTTTTTATTTTATGCATATTTTCTTCGAGTGTTCGGCATACAGAACACGCGTTATATAGCATGTGAGATGCGCTGCATCCGTTATGTCAAGTGCTTGACAAATCGCTGTACACTGGCAGGATTTAAATGTTTTAGGTTTGTTGCTGGCATAATTGACATTTATTTTTGGATGGGCGTTCCGTGCTGCAGGCAATTCGATTGAGAGTTCATGGCTGTGATATTAGATTTATATACTTTTAAATACAATGGAAAGAGCACAACATCCTCCACCTCTTTAAAAATGTTATCATACTAATTGTCATTGCGTCTGATAATAAACCATTGGATTTAAAAAGATGTTATCTTAATTAAAACTGCCTCAACAGTCCGTTCGCTTTATTTATTTAACCTATGACCAATTTAGCTATAATGAGATTATTTTGCAAAAAAAAAAGTTTGGTTCTAGTTGGGTAATTGAAAGTTGTTTAATTTATATTCGAAGCATGTTAAGTGCAATGTTGTAATTGATGCACACAGTCATAATCCGATTATAAGGAATTTCGAAACTAATTAGCAACTAAAAAGTAGCATATACGCTGCTTTTTTTTTGCCAAACATAATTATATTTCGATCGAATTAAAACACCTACGTTTTCTGTTCGAGAAATCAGTGGAAAGAGTGTCTCAATTCCGTTTAAGTCTGCATTCATAATAAATTTCGACATTGTTGCCTTGCTTAAGGGATCTGCTTTAGGACTGCATTAGATGTTCTTATCAAAGTAAGGGCTTTCATAAAAGCAAACGCTGCATCTTTTCAACTATCAACGAACTTTGAGAATTTCGGTTTCTTGTTTTTGCTGTTCCATCCCCGATGAGTTTATTTTCATGGACGGGTAACAATGGCGAACTGTACATTTTTGCCATATGAATTGTGACAAAATGCGAATGGCATCCACTTCCTCTGCCCTCTCGCTCTATTTGCCCTATATCCGTCTCTTTTGCTCCGTCCATATCTCATTGTGTCTCTTTCCAGGAGTTATAACCTCACTTCACAGCACCCCCTCGGCCAATTTTCGCATTTTTATGCATGTTTTGACATGTTCAAGCGTCGTTGGCGTCACTTCGCGATGTCAGGCATGCAACGTTTTATGGTCCATATACGTTTGCGCATATACTATACGACTATCTATGTGCATATGTATATGTGGAGCATTGTATGCACACACATACATATATAGGGATCTGATAGCACTGCAGGCCGTTGAAGGGACATTTTGTCTGCGGCTGGCTGGCTTTTGTTTCCATTTCGCTCTCCGCATTTCCACAATTCACATTTCACATTTCGCATTTGTTTAACAGTTAAATGGACAACATCGACGTCGCTGCCGGCGTCGCGGCGTCTCGATAACAATTTTAATAGGCCATTTAATTTTTAATTAATTCTTCAAGCGCCAGTTGCCATGTCATAAAAATGTTTGCTGTCATGTTTGTCCAATGCCCTCAGTCCTTCGATTTTCATTTGCCATCAGCCAGCCATTGATGATGATGTTTTTGGGGCGTTTAATGACATGTTTTTGTTTCATTTCGCCCTTGCCGGATGGCCCTGCATATCATTATTATTATTCCGATATTTCCTTCGCTGCCCTTTCCACGGAAAATACTCCGCAATTTGCTTTGTTTATTGAACATTTGTCTATTTACGAAGATGAGGGGGCGCGTGCGTGTGTTTATCGCTCGTAATTTCATTACTCAAAACTTGCTGACGCACACACACAAAGAAATGCGTTCGTTCCATAAAGGCAAACATTTGTCTTTTACGCCATCCGAATGTATTTAATGGAAAATAGAGGTTACATTAAACTTGTTTGGCTTTGGTCACACTGCGCAATGTGTATGATCATGTATGAATAAGCTCACTCCATTTTAAGTGTAACCCTATAATTATAGTAAACGTTGTAAGTTAGTTGGCTTAGTGTTAAATTGGTCTACTCTATATATAAAACATATTTTCTGCGTGTAATCTGTAATTAAAGCGAGACAGAGATTGTGAGGGGAGGCATCCACATTGCTCACTCAGCCATTGCTGCTTGACCTCGAGTCCAGTGGTGGAGGCCACCTAACCTTCGACATTGTGCCCGTCGACCACGTTTTACCCACCACCAGCCGCCCCTTCCCCTCAGTTCCTCCTCCTCCTCCTCCTCCTCCTCCTCCAATGGGCATTGTTTGGTTTTATATTTGGAAATTTTTGTGACTCTCTTAATAGCTTTTTGTGAAAATTAATTTCTTTGCTATTAGAGGTTCTTGTCGTCTCCACATTCACTCCTCCCCCCCAAAGTCCACACCCCCAGCTCTCTCAGTGTAAATCTGTTGGTGTGTGTGTTAGTGTATGTGTGTATGATGGAGAGTATTTTGTAATTACTTTATGCCCGAAAATTGCCGTAGTAAAATATTTCTCGCTGGCGTTTTGGGCTGGATTTTACAGTCGCTTTGGGGCAAGACAAAAATGGCTTTAGCAGAATCAAAGGGGGGGAAATGGTTTTAAGAGGCACTTTTCTGGCGGGGCGCACGTTGACCCAGTCGCCTCCATGAAATTGCCCTTTTGTCGGCAACCGGCACTCAACTTTCACTAATGCAATCAAATGCCATGCCTAGCCACCGAAAGTAAACCAATTTAAGCAACCCAGATTCACTATGCATACTCCTACACATGGTGTGGTCAGGTATTGGTTAAACACTTTAAGACACAACTTTGTCGTCTTCTGCTCATAAATCAGTGATGATTTTTTGTTGGTAAGTCAACAGCTTGCAAATGAAAACGTCGATGAAGTATTTATGCATATATATATGCATATGCAACAATGTATTATTTGATCACCGCATTGCAATTTTGCAATTTGAGCAAAGGCGGCATATTAATAAAATGTGACAAGTGCTAGAGTAAATTAAAATGTCCATAGAGACAGTCGTAATTGAGAATGGAATTTAATAATAGTGAGCAGCAACCCTTAAATCTAGCAGAAGCACAAGTCTACAGATCACATTGGACACTTATTGAAATAATTTAACCCTTCGGCAGTTAAAAATTTGTGGCTCTCGACAGTTTCGTTAACATGCCACGTGGCAAATGAGTTGTCCAAGTCGTATGCCAGAATAGCTAAATCTGCCCAAGAACAAGGGCCTAAAAACTGACCATCTGACCATGTCAGATCCGGACGTGTGCACTTAACCCGTTCCTAGTCAACTGGGCCATTATCCATCCACCACCCACCACCCACCACATATAGCATACACCATCCACAGCCTCAATCTCCGGACCCGGATTTCAATCCCCCAACATGGAAATCGTTTTACAGCCCCCCGCTCTGGTTAAATGTGTATATGGCATGCAGTTTGGGGTAAACTTTTCCCGAAAATTGCTACGCATAATTGCCAGTTTTTGCTGCCTGAAAAGCGCTGCTTTTGGGGGGAGGGGGTGTGAGGTTTTATTGTGACCACCCTTAACCCGTTAGTGAAATCTTCCAGCTAGTTCAAGAGGAGGGGTGGTGGTGAAAAGGGGCTTTATAGCCTGGTCGACATGTGTGCGTCGTTAGTTAGTTAGTTATAACTACATACAATTTTATGAACGCCATATTGTAAATGTTATAATTTTCACTAACAATTTTTAGCAACCGTTGGCGTCGTTGGCAAATGGGGGCGTGGTTGCCAACGCCCACATTTATGAACGATGGCCATGCGACGATGATAATTTTCAACAACTTTTACGTAGCGTGTGAAACACGGAACTCAAGAGGGTCTGAGTGGGTCTGGAAAAGGTGGGGCATGGGTGGGTTGGTTTTACGGAAAAGCCTACACATGCAACACCACCCCTGCCCTCTCCTCCCCTCCCCCCAGCAAGCCGTAGTTCTCTTCCCTACGGCCATGCACTTAAACGTGCTTGGGATTTTAAAGTATTTTTTACATTACGGCCGAAAAGCATTTTCTGTGTTTTTCAACTCCGATTTTTGTCGTGCTTTTTTGCTATTGTCGTTTGGTTTTTTTTATTATTTTTCAGTAATAAAATGTAATACATACAGAGGCTAACACACATACACACGCGGGCTACACTCACACACGCACAATTTTACTCAATTATAAAAGTTTCCACATTAAAAGTTCATTGCAGAGCCGAAAGTCTGGGCGAAACGAAAGTCCGAGGCAGAAAAGCACGGAGTTGTTGGGTTAGGTCGTGCCCACAGGAAGGAAGGCCTAGGAAGGACCTACCGCAGGTCTCTGTATTTGGGTGCTGATATAGCTCCTAGCTGGCACCCAGTCTCGTTTCCATTCCCCATTCCCATTCCCCATTGCCCATTGCCCAATCCCTTAAAACCCATTCCCAATGCCCTTCGTTGCGCTCCAAAATCACCGGGTCTGGGCAAACAACATCAAAGCCAAAGTGTCTCCGACAGAAAAAGTTACGTTTTTTCTATTATTTGGCTCTTTTTGAGGCCAGCCAGGGGAATTTCAGTTGGGCGGTAGCTGAATATGGAAAATGGGCAAAAAGGAGTCTGGTCGAAAGAGGTTGTTGTGCCACATGCACATGCCACATGCCACTCTTTTTTCAGTTCAGTTTTCCTGTGAGCAAACGACTCTATCTGCTACTGCTAATCTGTATATGTATCTCAACTATCTGAATAGTCTGACATGCTAATTAGATAAAGGATAATGAACTGACCTAAAGTTCAACTGGCAATGGAGGCACGTATGCAACTAGCTCAGTTTACTGATTCACTTAGCGAGATTTCACTGTGCCCCCAAACAAGAAACTTATTAATCGCATTAGCTTCTGTGCTGAACATTCCATGATTATAATCAAATCAAGCAGCAATCTTAACTTAATAGATATATTTTTTATATACACGTATAAAACACAATCTTTATTTAAGTTCCTAGAAAGTGTGTATTAAATACATGGTTTATTTCCTCTCTTTTCCAGGCTATGGTGGCATTTCACCGCGGACGCAGTGGGGTCGAGTGGCGGCCTTGGTGTACGCCCTGTTCGGAATACCCATCGTGCTGCTCTACCTGTCCGCCATGGGCGAAGCCCTCTCGGCGGGAATGCGCTGCCTGTTCCGGCGCCAGCGTGTGAAGGGTGGACCTGGTGGCGGATCCGGTGGCGGCGCCGCCGGTGGTGTGGGCTCGGGCGCCGGGGGAAGCGGTAGCAGCCGAAAGGCGGACAAAACCAAGGGCCAGGTGCACTACGGCCACCAGAAGTTGCATCAGTACGGCCTGCCGCCATCGGTGTACCAGCAGCAGCAAGCGCAGCAAGCGCAACAGGCACAGCAGCAGCAGGCGCAACAAGCGCAGCAGGCGCAGCAACAGCAGGTGCAGCAGGGCAAGAAATCCTCGGGCAGTCGCCGGGGCTCACCTAGTGTTCCCATCTCCATCTGTGTGTGCGTGCTGCTCTGCTATGTGAGCAGTGGTGCGATTCTGTTCCACAAACTGCAGAACTGGAGTGTCCTGGAGTCACTGTACTTCTGCTTCACGTCGCTGGGAACCATTGGATTCGGTGAGATGGCGCCCAATGGTGCAGTGGCTCTCTATACGGCCTCCGCCTACATTCTGGTCGGCATGGCCGTGGTGGCCATGTGCTTCAGCCTCATCCAGACGGAGATCGTACTGTGGCTGCGCCGGTTCAGCGTGCAGGATCACGTGATGCCCAAGGCCGAGGAACTGGCTCTAGTCACTGTGGCGGTCACACCGAAACCCTCCTGACAGCGACCCAGTGCGGATCCCAGTCTGGGCGTCGGATTGGGTGTGGGTCTGGCCGGCGGCGCCCTGGGGCAGCCGCAAAACAATCTCGGCCAGCACCAGACCATGTTCTTTGGACCCGCCCACACGCTGACGCAGTACAGTTCGCTGCCGCGCAGGAGTCACCTGCAGGCGGCCAACAGTTCCGGCGGAGGATCGGCCTTCCAGCGGAACACGCCCATCCGTAGGTCGACGGGCATACCGGAGCACCATCTGGAGTACTTTGTGCCGCGCAGCATCAGTGAGTTTAATCTGTCGGGAGTGGGCGATCTCGCCCTGCCGCCACCCCGTCGATATTCACCCAACATGGTGGGTGGTGGTGGAGGAATGGGCGGCATGGGCATGAATATGGGTGGCATGGGCATGACCATGGGCATGGGCATGGGCCTGCCACATGGCCTCCAGTTGGGTCCACCCCAGACGCTGCTCTGCTCGGCCACGCCCACTGTGCAGCAGCAACAGCAGCCGCCTCCGCCGCCGGCACAGCTGCAGATCGTCACTCTAAAGCCGCGCAGCGAAAAGATGGTGACTTTCGAGGATGAGTCAAAGCAGGCGGTTGGCGGTGGAGCAGTTGGCGGAGGCGCCGGCGGCTCGGGAACGCCACCGCATTGTCCACACGGAGTGCCGACCACTCCGCGAAAATCGCCAGCCGTGGGCGATATATTCATGTGACCAGGAGCGCAGGACGAGGCGGCCCAGTTGGATGCAGCAATGCGATTGCGCGACAGCATCGATGATGCGCTGTGTCCAAAAGTTGGACCGGCGCCAGGTGAAGTGATACGTGTCTAAGAAACAAAAGGAACATTCTGAACACAAACACTCACTCACACACACACACCAACACACTGTAAGTAAATGCACACACACGTATATAACCAAAAGAGAGTATAATAGAAAAACATTGCCTACTTTTGAGGGCCAATACTCTCAACTTGAAGTTCATTGTGTTTTTCAGCATATAAGTATAAATAAAACATTGAGCAAATATTTATTATTATGTGTGTAAATATAGCATACAAAAAACCACAAAGAAGGCAAACAACTAAAGTTGAATCGCACTTTGCGACAGAATGAGAGAGTGAATTAAAATTAAAATTCTAAATGATAAATGCATAAATAATTGAATGTTGCGTGAGGGCATTTTACGGTTAATGCTGTAGAACACGAATCCAGAAATTAATAAATACACTCAACCACACACCTGAACACACACACACTATGAATAATAAATAGTGCGTGGGCGTGGCAGTAAGGGGCGGAGCAGATGTTGGGCGGGCAAGTAGAGCAAACAAAATGCAAATGAAAATGACAAATTGTATAAATACCAAAGGACAAAGTTTATTTAAGCGATTTGTTAGTTAGTTGCTCCTGCTCTCTCAGTTCATTTTTTTTCCTTTTATGTTTCACCGTTTCTGGTCGCAAAATTTCAATTAGTTTTATTTGCTGTTTCGCAGGGCAAATATGTATAAATTTCCGGAAGGCAGATTTGTACTATTTGCGAAATGCTGATGGTTTTATTTCCAGACATGCCAAATGTTATTTAAACTGTGTCAAGAAAAATCGTCATATTTTGCACCGATCTTTTACACAATATATATACATGTATGTTTATTTTTACATAATAAATGGATTTTTCCATTTACAACTGTCTTACGAACTGTTTTACGGTGCCAAGTTAAATGTAAAATGCAACCAATAATAGCAAAGGTGTTTTTATGCTAAATCACAATTTTAACAATCGAACTGTTGAATGTATCCCCCTAGTAAATTAGGCTCAAAGTGCTAAGTGTGTATACTATATGAATGTAAGATAAATGTGTATGTTTGTGCCAAGGAGGGAATCGAAAGTATTATCAAAATTGATTGTTAAGCCGAACTGTAATCCGACTAAATGCCACGTACGTGCGATCAACGAATTACCAAAAACGATTTATTCAAAAACTTTGGTGGTATTTAGCTTGAGTATTTCGCTTTTTAGCCGACACTTTTCAAACGTTGGGCAAAACTCGTAATTTCCAAACTGCCCACTGGCAATTAGGTTTAAATACTTTTTAAATGCATTTTGATTGTAGGTAATTGAGCGCGTGAATGGCCATTTGTTGTTTGTTTCTGTTGGTTTCTGGCCTTGTTTTCTGTTGCCTGTTTTCTGTTGCCCGTTTTCTGTTGCCCGTTTTCTGTTGGTGTTGGCTGCTTTCCACTGACAGGACATTCAATTGGAGGGCTGTCAAGCGAGCGGAGCTCATTTGAGCGCGTTTTTGTTGCTTTTGCTGCTTTGCGGCAATTCATTTAAAATAAATTCAATTTAAGCGACCGCCACCGCCCGCCGAGAGGGCGTGGCCGCCTGGTTGCATTTGTTAATTTTTGCCATATTCAATTTGTGGCATTCAATTAAAAAAAATAGTGAAATTAAACCAGATAGGATAGTCATTGCTCGTAAAACACAAAGCATGCCAACAAACACAAAAAAAAAAACAAAGATTAATATATAAATAATATACATACATTTTTTAAAAATACAACATGCTGGACAACCTTCAATTTATGGGTTGTGGCCCGCAGAGACTAATTGCAGAGCTCAAACTTGGGTCATAGCCTCAGCCAATTCAGATATATGTCTATGTAGTTAATACTAACTAACTAACAGCCAAATGGTAATAGTATAACAAAAGAGCGATAAAACAAATATTGAAATTAAGCCAATGTAATTAAATTAAGTCCACTTCAACACGCATTCACACGCACACACACACCACACACACGCACACACAGACAGAGCCACAACCACAGACAAATTAATACCATAAAGTAAACTAAATGTAACGATACTTTTTTTTTTTTTTTGTCAAATTCCTAGCACGGTAAGTTGAACTTTTAGGCTAACCGCATAGGCTCATTGCGAGTGGCAGTTAAGGATAATTACTCTAATTCATATGTACTCCTAGTCCACTAGATACACATACATATGCATATACATATACATATAGATATGTAGCCGTACACAAAACGAAACTAATCTAGCATTGAGAAAGGCAAATACCAATAAGGAATACCGCAGTTCGCATCATATATATATATATGTGTATACAAACATCTCTCTATATATATATACAAGCCCAACCAAAAGAAAAGAGAAGAATAAATACATCATGAACAATTTAGTCAAAAATCAACAACTCTTTGTTTGTTTTTTCACTTGCGGCTCAAATTAGCAAATGCCGAAAATCTGCAAAGGGGCAAGCAGTTTAAATGGGATATGTGTGTGTGGTCTTTTAGCTGATATATTTGCAGATTGCCAGCAAGAGCAGTTTTCTTTTAATATTTGCCAATGATTTTTCGTTGTTTAGTTTTTAGTTGGCTTTACTTATTTATGCTCGAATTTATTGTGTTCATAAGTTTCGGTTATGTTTTATAATTTTCTATTTTATTATACTTTGTTATTATGATTTGTCTTATTGAAGATGTTAACAATTACGTGTAAAAACACACCCATCTGCTGTAATTACTTCGTATATGGGAATCCCAGCCTACATTTGATACGACCAGATATGTCCGCCAGATTTGGTAAGTTATAGCAATCAATATTGTGATGAAGTAACATTAAATCGAAATTAAGGCCAGGAGTTGTGTCCATTGGCAATGTTTTCTTTCCAGTTCAATTAATGAACCTATTTATGGCATGCCTTTTTTCGGACGGGCTCGTTGAAAACTGAAACTGAAACTGAAACGTGGGTATATATTACCGAAATCATCAAAAAGAAACGGCGATTTATTGGAGCGGCAGAAGAGAAAAGGGGTGGGTGAGGGGGGAGGGGAATGTGAATATCTTAAATTTAAATGAAATGCGCAGAATCAATTTGCGCGTTAATTGATAAAGATAAAAACGGACGAGAGCGAGTGCGATAGGCTGGCCAATAAAAAACACAGGCCTCCCTTCCGCTCGCACGCTTTTTTGTGAATTGTGAATTATTTAATCATTTAATTAGTGTTAATAATTTATAGCAAACAGCTTCGCAATCAATTTGCGTTTCTGTCTGTGTCTGTATCTGTATCTGTAGCTGTATCTGTAGCTGTATCTGTATCTTTGTGGCCATTTCGCTGTGCGTGTGCATTTTATGACAACTCTGGAATGGAATTTCACTTAATCAAGAGTCGCATCCAGGTGTTCAACAGAATGGTTTTTTGGCTGTGGATGTACGAGTGCACAGAGTTCAGATTCCGGCTTTTTGCCACATCAATTTAATTTGCTTCTGACAAATATCTCCATATCCGGTCATCGCATTTAACCCAGCATTTCCCCCATGGATTCTTCGCTCGAGTGTTTGTCGAACCTATAGACGAAATGTCAAGTGGAAAAGCATTAGCCCATCAAATGATGTGTAATGTACTCGACTGTCTCTCGAAATTATCAAGCCAGTGCGTACACATTTGAACGGTGCGTTGCATGGCTGTAAGTTCACACTAATTAAGCTATAGGGCTGACAAATCATCTCTACATATAGGTATTCCATTCATTACCCATACATATGAACTTCATCAAGGATCCTTATAGTGCCGAACTGCACTGTACTTGCATTGTTTGTACACATTGCCATCTGCTCGTTACATCCGAATGTTTGTGTAACATCACCGAATTACCTCCATTTACACTGATGGCAGGGCATTAAATTAATTTCGTCAAATGGAAAATGCGAGTGCAAGAGCTGCCAGAGCAGACTAATTCGGCCAGGTGAAGTGGGATCAGTCGGTGAAATGGATGCACTTCTTGGATCGAAGTGGATTCAGATGCTTGGGAGCAAGTGCAGCCTGAGCATATAACTTAGATGGAGCAAAAACACACACACACAAACACACACACTTACATCCAAGTAATAAATTTCGCTTAAATGTTCTCCTTTGTTCGAGTCATTAAAATCGCATTTGGCAAAGGAAGGAAGCCAGTGGATCCTGTATGTGACGACTCACTGACGAGAATGAGAATGAGGATGAGGATGAAACTGGTTGTTTGTTGGATGTTTGGATGCTCGGATTCTGGATGGTTGCTTGATGATGCTGATGATGGTCTCCATCTTCTTGGCAATGCGTTGCCATTAACGTTGACTGCTACGTTGTCAACACACTTGACATATAATTTGATTACGCATACGCATTTTATTAACTCATTTTCAGCGCAACCATCCGCCCCGTCGGCCCGTTCCGTTCGGTATCCATCCATTCGCGATGGCGATATGATATACTTACAAGCAAGAGATATGCCGGTCCCATTAACGGTTACGTTGTGTCGGCTCTGCGGTTTTCAAGTGCCCCTGAAAAAGCGCCTGAAAAACATCCACATTTCCCCATTATTCCGGCAGCATATTGTCTGAGTCAATTACAACAACTCGCATCTGGCGATGGCAGCGATCGCAGCAAAGTGTGTGTAGAGCGAACGCTTTCGATGGGCGGACCATCTCTAGGAAAACCCACAGGCGGCGGCAACTAATTTCTTTTTACAACTGTAGCAGTTCCTCAGCTTTATGGAAACCCACACATGCACACACACACACACACACACTGGCTACACTAAGGCAAAAAACTCGAGTGGTTCGTCTTTAAATCCAAAGTGCTCAGTATCCTGCAGCTGGAAAGCCTTAAAGCCAATGGAGATTAAAAGAGATAGCATTTGAAGTACGGTAGGATGCTTTAGGTCTGTCTCGAGATTTGGAAATTTCATGCAAAGGTGTCTGAAAGTCTGCAATTAAGTTGCCAATTGAAGGATAACAGGATAACATAAAATGTGTCGTGCGATTGTTTCGAAATTAAGTTGCCTGTATGTGGAGGCTCTTCAAGTAACTAACTGGATTTGATTTACTCACTTCAATTTCAATATTGTGAGCGTAGATAAAGAATCTAGCACGAATGCTCCTCCTTTGAGACCGCGTTTTTCTCGCCGTGCTGCTGTTTGCAGAGCCTCAAACAGCTGCTGCCAGGCGAAGCCAAGCCAATAACCCAGAGGAGAGCAACCACGAGGAGTCGGAGCAAACTGTTTACTTGAAACAGACTGTCCTCACACACACACGCACACACTGCACACTAGGAAGGATCAAGGACGATATGGCGG